GAAATTCGTGTCACTGCCGGATTGCGCAAAACGGCAGCAACCGCTTGGGAAGTGGCAAGGCCTGTTGCTTTCCCTGCCCACATAAGCTAGTAGAAAGACCTTTTCCTTCCTCGTTGACTTTCTCCTAGTAGTTGCACATCTGACTTCAGTGGGGTGTCTGGACAGTAACGTTTCAAGAACTAATGAAATCCTGTTGTTCAGTCAGTTTGAGGCTGTCACTTCTGTGATACAGCCATGCTTGTCAAATGAAGCTCAGCAAGTAGAGGTTTTGAGGGCAAGCCTACTGAAACAGGGCGTTGGGACTCGAAATGTTGCTGATGAGCAGTGGAGTCCATCCCGGGGCAGCTGTGGGGTTGCCGCCTCTCTGAGCTGCTGTGGACGGTGATAGGCAGACTTTAGATGCTCTTCTGGGAACTCAGGGGCAGGGTGAAGGTGTGCCTTGATGTACAAGCTGCCCGATTCAACAGAAGACCGTGGGTTCTTTGCTAGTCGGATGTTCCGAAGCTGATCGTGTTTGCATTAGAAATGGTGATGAAATGAATAATCAAGTTAAATCTTGCATAGCTTTCTTCAGGTAAAGAATTTTGAGAATTTTGGTGGAATTCCACCTTGTAAGAGATGACAGTTCTTAATGCGCGAACTGCAGAATCCCCACCAATAAAGCTGCTCTATTTGACATGTATATGGGGTCAAGCAAGTTGTTGCATACTGTGTATTGCATAGCTGTGAAGAGAAGGGCACAGTAGTTATTCAGTATAGGTGTAGATCAGGTATAGATCTTACCACAGGCCTCTTATTGCCTAATGTAAATTCTTGATCTTATTTGCTGCTCTATTATAACTTGTATGAATCTGCAACTGGCATTTGCTAACTCTTTCCTCCTAGGAAGAAAGTAGAGGAAAGCAAACAGGTGTCAAACTGGTTTGGAGAAGTGTGGATAATTCTGAGTGGTTTCAAGGCTTACCAGGATTTCCTGCTCATCATGAGAGAGGGACATATCTAGCTCAGTTTATGAAAGTCTTCACATCTATATGTTGGGCTAGAGTGATAACCTTGTTAGGAGAGCTCAGAACTTTATTTTATGTTTCTACTTTTTTTGCTCGTTTAGAACAAATACTTGGGTACCTACACAGCTTGGTACCTACACAGCTTGAAATGACACACAGTTAAGCAAATGAACTTTTGCATGTTGGAATGATTGCACTTATGTTATAGTCATCCGTCATATTCTGGCTTGTTGCTTTCAGGCATGCTTTTTTGTAAGCATTGATAAATGAAATAGAGGAGATTCCCTAGGTCAAATTAAACATGAATATTTCTCTGTCCCTTTTATATGGGCTCACTATACTTGTTCATTGCTAGTGTTAAGATACTGAGAGAACTGTGTGAAAACAGTGCTTCTGCATATCTGTTCTTTGGGAATCTTACATTGTGCTTTTATAGTGATAAACTTTTGAGTTGTTTGTAATTACATTTAGTGAGCCAGAGACAAAATAATTACAGAAGAGCAAGCTGAATTTTGCTTTGCTTTAAACATTGACTATATTCACATTTTTTTTTTAAATAGCAAACTGCTAGTAAAAAGGCAGAACACTTCAATTTTTTTTTCCCAGAGATCCTAGTTTGAATGTTCAAGGCAGTTAGATGTTTGAGGCATACCATCAAAAATGTATTTTTCCTCTGTAAAATCACCTTTCACTTGATACAGAATAATAATGTTCAGTGTTTAATAACTGTTATGGATGGTAACTGTTTAAAACACACCCTTGTTTTTATATTTGTCTAGACACATTTGCTAAGGTGTACAGGAACCTCCCTCAGAGAGTAAAACTGATCAGCAACAACAAGAAGTGAAAGTATTTGACAAGTAATAAGTGTAAAACTTATTTATTTTCTTTTTTAAACAGAAATGTACTCATATCCTTATAGGCATAAAGTAATAAAATGTGAACCTTCAGTTTAATAACAGAGGAATTAATTAATAACAAAGCTATCTTAATCAGATGATAATGGAAACTCAGTATTATATATGTTAACTACTGACAGTATAAAATAGTGCTAGCTTTAATTTGCCTTGATTAAACCACAAATATGTATTAATGGAATGAAAAAACAAGCATATAAGAAGTTGTATGTCAGTTTTTAAAGATTTTTTTGAATTAGGTCTCTCTTCTCCAAAAGACAGAGAAATAAAAATAGATCTT